CTTGGTTCTTTGACAGACTTGACATTCAGCAATAAACTTCTGAGCAGATCCCTTTATTCCCGGCCAATCAAACTGTTGCAAAAGGCTTCCATAAGTCTTTTCAAAGCCGAAGTGTCCACTCCGACCATGTGCCAAATCCAAGAAATGAGTCCGGAGAGGCGCATGGTTGGGTACACACAAACGATCAAACTTCCCATACCGGTGGAATACAAGACCCTCGCACTCATGAAAATCAGGCTGACTGTTAGGGTCAGCCTTGAGCTGCTCAAGGATGGGACTAAGGTCCGGATCCTTGGCGGTGTGTTCAGCCAGATCCTCCTTCAGTTTCCTTCGGAGGTCATACGAACCCACAAGGCAAGTCAAGAACTCAGGATGGCGGGACAGAGCATCAACAACTCGGTTATAACAGTCTTTCTTGTGTTTCAACTCAAAGTTATAGACAGCAATGTCATGCAACCAGCGGGTCAGTGTAGGAGAGAGATCAGTTTGTGTTCGAATCCACTGCAAGGTCTGATGATCTGAGTAGACCTTGAAGTGTCGACCCAAGAGGTAGTGCTTCCAATGTGTAAGCGCCTCGCACAAGGCGTAGAACTCACACATATACGTGGAGGTAGCTACCTTGTGGTTGGGCATGCGTTTGCTGTAATACTCAAGCGGGCGCAGGCCATCACCATCATCTTGTTGCAGCACTGCACCAATCCCAAACTGGCTCGCGTCCGTAGTGACTACGAATGTGAGGTTAGGAGATGCAATGCGGAGCACAGGATGACTCACCAATTCCTCTTTCAAGGCTTGGAACGCAGTCTCACATTTCTCACACCACGCATAGGCAACATTCTTACTTGTTAGTCTCGAGAGTGGGTGAGCAATGACATAAAATTTGGGCACAAACTTCCGGTAATATGAGGTCAAACGAAGAAAAGAATGCAGTTCGCGTACGTTCGCTGGTTGAGGCCACTTTCGGATGACCTCAACCTTGGTTGCCTCCGGCTCAAGTTCGTTTGCAGACAACCGGTGCCCAAGATAGATGACGCTGTCCCTTCCAAACTCAGATTTCTCTAAGTTGAGGTGCAGTTGTGCCTCCTTGAGCACCTGCAAAACTTCCTCAAGGTGTTTGGCGTGCTCTTCCATGGACTTGCTGAAAATCAGGATGTGATCGAGGTAAACAACAACAAACCTGTTGAGCTGATGGCGAAGAACCTTGTCCATGAGGCACTGAAATGCGGCTGGTGCATTCGTAAGACTGAAGGGCATAACGATGAATTCGTACAGCCCATCGCATCTCTTGAATGTTGTTTTGTGTTGGTCGCTCGGATCAACTTCAATCTAGTGGTAACCAGACTTGAGGTCGATCTTGGAGAAGACCTTGCACCCACCTGCCGCATCTAGCAGATCATCTATGCGAGGCAAAGGGTAAGCATTCTTTCTGGTGATTCGATTGAGGCCACGATAGTCAATACACATCCGGAGTTTGCCTCCTTTCTTTGGCACAAACAGGCCAGGTGCACCGAACTCGGACTCACTAGGCCTAATCCATCCACGGTCGATCATGTCATCAATTTGTCTCCTCAACTCCTCCAACTCGCCTTGTCCCATAACTGGTCCGCCATGCCTGACTCTGCTTCGAGCTTCCTTGGTGCGGCACTACCCCAACTGGGGCCTTCCAGATGCAGCGCCCAACAAGGTGATGAAGACGGTGTCCACCATAGCCAGGTAGGTGCCTCGCCACTCTCCTCCTTAGCCCCCTTCTTCCTCCTCCTCAAGCTGGGCTGCTCGCCATAGCCAGGCTGAGCGCCAGCTGCCCTTCACCTCCAAGCAGCGCTGTATCAGCCAGCGCTGCGCTCCAGCAGCATGTCGCCAATCCTTGCATACCGCCAATGAGGAGGAGCTACTTGCTCCTCCGAAAGATATAGCAGCCTACTGGCCTCCTGGGCGGTGACTTCCTAGGCCGAGCAGCCTCCCAGCAACCGGTACCTCCTCCCTTTCGGAGGGAAACATCATTGCAGGCTCNGCCTCCTGGGCGGTGACTTCCTAGGCCGAGCAGCCTCCCAGCAACCGGTACCTCCTCCCTTTCGGAGGGAAACATCATTGCAGGCTCTGCTAACCTCTGGACAGGCCCTAGACCCGGGCTACTTGGACTGGTACCGGTCTACCTCTATCCTACCGCTACTGGGCCTCTAAAAATGCCAACTTTTTGTCTTCTTCTGCTCGGCCTCCAGTACCTGACACTCCTACCACTACTCGAGTGGTACCGGCCTACCTGCTACTTGAGTGTTTTTCCCCGCTGCTCTAAGTGTCGCGGGCCTACCCCCGCTACTTAAGTGTTTACCCCCCTGCAACCCTCAAAGTCACAGCCATAGGTAAGTACCGGCCCTGCGGGGCCTTGCAACCAACAAGTACCCTTGCGGGTCACACACACACTCAACCGACAAGCACTCAGACAGGCATGCAAGCCAGCAGGCACGCACACACACACAGACTTGGAAACCACAGCAGAATGCGGGAATCACAGCAAGGCATTCATTCCAGTGGCAAATCCCAGAAATCAGCACTGTTCTCAGTCTGTGTTTTTGGCGGGTCATTACACTATTTGTTAAACTCAGAGAATCATTTTGCCTGAATTGTCTCAGAAGCATGGTGTGTCGCTCAGGAATGAGCAGCGCTTCTCTCCCAACCCAGAGTAACCGCTATCTACTACCCCAGAACCCCTGAAACAACCAGCGCCACCCAGATACTGCCTCCAGAGGGAAGTGCCAACTTGAAACAGGCACCTGAGGCCAAGCGCCTCTCAGAGGATGAAGAAGAAGACCAGCACCAGAGTCTCTGATGAAGATGAAGTGCTGAATAACTTCCCTGATGAAGATTTTCAGCAGCACCACCTTTCCCGACAAAGGAGATCTTTGTGGATGTAAGCTGCAGCGCCACCACCTTGAACCCTACTCTTGAGGAGGGTTCCTCAAGGCACCACTTATCGACCTCCCAGCAGACCTTAGATAGCCCAGACCTCTGAGCAGCCCCACGTGCTACCAGGGAACACCGAAGGACCCAGCTATGGCCGACGCTTCCAGGGTCTGCCTATGTTTGTCTTTCTCAATGCTGAAGCTTTCACCACTCCAGTTCACTCGTTGTGCCATCGCGATCTTCAAAATGTCAACTGCCAAAAGGTCTGAACAACCTTCCTCAGTCTATTAATAGATCTACTCTAACCTAGACTTGACCTAGACCAGACCTACTGGACCGACCGGTACCGTTTCTGTTTCGTCCTCTAGGGCCACTCCCTGCCCGGCTATAGGCTATAGGACCAGTCTATCAGTGTAGGCCCTTAGGCCTGTCTGTCCGTGTGGTAGCCCGAGCCCGTTATTCGCAGTTACGGTGACTATAGGGAAATAGGATTAGTGCGGGTCTGTTAGTTTTTACAAATTTGCAGATATGCCCCTCACGTATTTCTCCACACGCTGGTTTACCGGTTAGTACATAGTAGAAACAAAATTTCGAATCTGTCCTACCTATGTTACAGCCTCAGTTCGACGGGCTGCTGGCTGCAGAATCAACAAGTCATTGCAGACATGCCTGACTCAGCCTTGAAGCCTTCTTGGAGCGGCGCAACCCCAACTGGGGCCTTCCAGATGTAGCGCCTAAGAAGGTGATGAAGATGGTGTCCACCATAGCCAGGTAGGTACCTCGCCAGTCTCCTCCTCAGTCCTCTTCTCCATCCTTCTCCTTCCGGCAGAGGTCCACCAGAGCCGAGGTGGGAGCTCCCGGTGTCCTTCTTCCCAGCAGCGCTGAAGTGCCCAGCGCTCTTCCACCCAATGCTCCAAGCAGTGTGTCGCCAAACTTGTGCACCGAAGAATGAGGCTGAGCTCTTGGCTCAGCCCGAAGATATGGCGGCCTACTTGCCTCTTGGGCGGTGACTTCCAGGCCTCTCGGCCTCCTAAGCAGCCGGTACCTCCTCCCTTTCGGAGTGAAACGTCATTGCAGACTCTGATATTGCCCGTACAGGCCCTAGACTAAGACTGGTTGGACTGGTACCCGCCTAGACCTAGCGGTCCTAGCCTACAACTACTGGGCCTCTAAAAACGCCAACACTTGTCTTCTTCTGCTCGGCCTTGAGTACCTGGCACATCTACTGCTGCTTGGTCTGGTACTGGCCTACCTGCTACTTGAATGTTTTTTCCGCTGCCCTAAGTGTCGTGGGCCTCGCAGCCCGCGACTTAAGTATGTTCCCCCCACCCCCTTGCAACCCTCAATGTCACGGGTACAGGTAAGTACCGGCCCTAAGGGCCTTCAAACAAGCAAGTACCCCTATGGGGTCACACACACACTCAGACCGACGAGCACTCAGACAGGCACGCAGACCATCAAGCACACACACACACACAGACTTAGAAAACTCAGCATAATGTGGGAATCTCAGCAAGGCATCCATTCCAGCAGTAGAACTCAGAAATCAGCAGTGTTTTCAGTCTGTGTTTTGGTGGGTCATTACATCTCTCTCTCTCTCTCTCTCTCTCTCTCTCTCTCTCTCTCTCTCTCTCTCTCTCTCTCTCTCTCTCTCTCTCTCTCTCTCTCTCTCTGGGTATACTTGGTGGCTGGTGTCGGGCAGGTACAGTCTGGTGCCCATCAATTGTCTCTGGCATGTAAGGGAGCAGCTTGGCCATTGCTTGTCACGATTCTATTTTCCTCCTTAACATTTTTTAATTTTTTCAACCACACACATTCAAGCGGTCCATTTGTTCCAGGGGCAGGATCCAGCTATTTCCACAAGGCACACTTCAGCCCTTTTTTGTCGTTTCTCAATCACATACACAGTGATACACTAGCCCCTTTTCTCTCACTTTCCAACCTTACATACTTCGCTTTGTGGCAGAATTCCGCATGAGAAAAATTGCATTCAGGCTTCTAATATGTAGGAAACACTCTGATCAACTTTGGCATGTGAATGAAGTCGACCTAGTTGAGCACTAATAGTCCCCTGTCTGGGCAACGCACATGTTGAACAGGTGCTGGATGTATTTGATTCCATCTTACGGAACATTCATGGGATTGAGGATGTCCAAACACGGATAGCGGTTTTATCAGACACTTATGAACAACTGGACATCAAGACTGTTGGGAGGAGCGATGAGGTATCGATTGCAGCTCGGAGTAGAATTGAGAGCATTCTTCAGGAAAGCCTTATGGGTCCTCGTATTCTTGAGATGAAGTATGCGGCCTTCAAAAACCTTGCTGCCATGAGTGTCGATAATTTTTTAAATGAATGGAAATCGATGCCGCATTCACTGGAACAGTACGAGCAGGAGATCACAAACCATCTTAAGGTCTAAATGCTTTCTCCACAGCCACAACTCCAGACAGTTAACAGAATCTTGGTTTTTGTGTCTTGCTTACCGTATTTGATCTATCTGATGTGCTCGTAATTCTGAGTATAGCAGTCTGACTCTGTGTGTTTTTTTTTTTGGGGGGGGGAGAGGGGGGAAGACTCTGTGTTTGATGACACACCTGAGTGGGGAGGAAACAACATTTTTCACCAACTTTTTAATGCATGCAACTATATGTTCACAAGACTAAGAGACCTCTTCCATGACAGAATTACAAGCAGCCATGGTGTGGTCATGGGTCATTGTCTATTAAGGCAAATTGCAATAAACTCAGTTCATGGGCACCCCGTTGCAGGCAAGGGTCCTCACTTTCGGTCAAAAGGCCAGAAATAGGGGCCAAAGGTCACTGCAATCAGACTCGCTTTCTTTTCCACTTCGCAAACATGCAAACAGATGGCGATTCACACTGGCGCAGCACGCCCACTCAAAGCTCAGAGATATGGAAAACGAGAACACAGTTCAGATGCAAAATCGCTTCAACAAATTATGGCGCTTCGGCGCCTGCACATCCAACTCTCGTCAGTGTGTCCAACACCACCGTTCGCACGTACTCCACTCCGGATCACCCTGAATACTCCACACGCTTCCCTCTCTTACACACACACACATTTCAGCCTATCTTCCTCCTACAGCGGCTATGGCTGCTCTACTACTACTGACTATGGCTACGTTGTCTCCCTTCAGCCCACTTTGACTTCAGGCGACCTGCAGACCACCTCGCAAAAGGCGCTGTGGCAGCGCTTCCGCATGGCTTATGCAGCGAATGAATGAATGGCTGGGCGCTGCCTCTTGATTTATACTTCTGTAAGTCGTTGGTCAGCCCTTTTCCACTGGGCCCATGGTGCACACAGTCCCTCATGGTACTTGCTGGCTGTGCAAAGTGAGACTGGGACTGGGTACCGCTGACTAAGCGAAATTGGACTCACCACTCGCCCACTTGCCTCTAACTAAGCGTGAGAAACTCTCGAAAGGCCACTTCCGGACCTTCCGGAAGTTTGTGGACTTGGCCTTTCGGGACTGTAGCAGCTACAACCTTGACCTCTTAGGACTGTAGCTGCTACGACCTTGATGTTTCGGAAAGGCTACAGCTACGACATCTACTCAGCTATGACCCCTACTCGACAGACCTACAGATCGAACCCCTACAACTACACAGACCTACGACAGATGACAACCAACTACCAAAACACTGGTCACGGGTTCAAACACTTGGGGGTCAACTCCTTTCTGTACATGGGTAAGGTAAGGTCTGGGAATTGAACTGTAGGGCCCGCATCAGAGACTGCAAAAAGGTGAAAACCGTTTCACTCCCGCCGGCCTAAATTTGAGGTCCTCCAAGAATACTTCAGTCTAAGGCAGGAACTTTACCATTCTTATCTCTCTCGTAGGCTCGGACTATATCGGGAGCGGTCTCTAGAAGTTCTGTTCGCGTGAACCAGCGGTCGTCTTCTGGCTCTTGAAAGGAAAATCTAACTTTGAACTGTTTCTGTGGACGACCTCTACGTCCTGTCCTGAACACATCCTCACCTACTATGCCATCAATATCGTACTTTCCATCCATATCCAGAGGAATCATGGATCTCCGTGATGGAAACTATTTACTAGTGATCCACGACAATAGTTTTGACGCATGGAACACTGGGTAGGTGTGGAGGTGTGCTGGAATCTCGATAGTGTAGGACGGTCCATCCTCTTCGCCCTTTACTTCTAAGACTGGCCACAGTCCTCGATACGCAGGCAGTAACTTCTGCGAGATGTTATCCTCAGGAGCGAACTCTTTTGACTTGACCCAGACTAAGTCGCCTACTTGAAACTGTGAGGGGCGACGGTGCTTATTAGCTTGCTCTATCATTTTGTGTTGGGCTTTCCTGAGGTTATCTACAACGGTAGATATCTCCTTCTCGTGGTGTATCACAAACTCTCGTGTACCGAGCGGCAGCCTCTGAATCTGATCCCGGTTAAGTCCCTCAAATGGTATGTGCGGTCTAAAGGACTTGTGCACTTCGTTGGGAGTGCGACATGTGGCTAAGTGCACGCTGTTATTGTATGCACTAACTACCTTTTGAAGCATCTCGTCCCAGTTGATCTGATCGGGCCTAATGTGCATTCTAAGAACTTGTTGCAGGAGCTTGTTCATCTGTTCAGTCTGACCCTTAGTCTCAGGATGACGGCCAGATGAGATCAGTAACTTTGAACCATAAACTTTCATCAGTTCCTGCCAGTTCTGACTGGTGAACCTGGTGTCTCTGTCACTAACTATTGACAGCGGTATACCATGTTCATTGACCCAATGGTCAAAGATCTTCCGAACTACTAAGTCTGTTCGTGCTTCTACAGGCAAAGGAATAAAAACTGCATACTTGCTAAAACTATCCAATATAACCATGACTTGACTCTTGCCATGCCTACTCTTGACCCCAGCATCCATAAAGTCAATCGACACAAAATCTCCGAGTCTGTCAGGAATAGGCAAGGGTCTGAGAAGACCAAGAAGGGCTCGCGTAGTAGTCTTATTTGTCTGACAGACTTTACAATTGCGTACATACTCCATGCAGTCGGCCTTCATACCCGGCCATATATATGTGCGCATGAGGTTGGCCTAGTGTCTTTTGCCAACCAAAGTGTCCCTCTGTGCCGTGGCATTCCCCTAAGATCAAACTACGGATCTCCTCGCTGTTAGGAACACACAAACGGTCAACTATATTAGTCTTCTCGAATACTAGTGTTGTAGTCTGGTTCGGACACTGGGGCCTCCTTAACTCTCCTGAGGAGGTCACTATAGATAGGATGTTGCACATACGCTTCTCTAAATTTGTGTTGCAGGTCCCTCCCTATGTCCAAATAGTGAACTATTGCTCCAAAGTAATCAGCTCTTTTAATTAGAGCGTCCGCAACTACATTGTACTTCCCTTTGACTGGCTTAAGTTCAAAGTCATACTGATCTAACTCTGCGGCCCACCTAGTAAGCTTAGGTGTCATCTTGACCTGTGTCTTCAACCACCGTAGTGTCTCGTGGTCTGAATAGACTTTGAAATGCCTCCCAAGTAAGTAATGCTTCCAGTGCTCTAATGCTTGCCTGAGAGCGTAGAGTTCCCTCTCATAGGTGGATGTCGCTACCTTCTCTAAAGGCATTTTGACAGACATGAACTCTACGGGCCTATATCCATTACCATCGTCTTGCTGTAAGACGACACCTATGCCATACTGACTCGCGTCAGTGGTAACAACGAACGATAGGGACGGATCGGCTACCTTAAGGACTGGATACTCTATCAAAGCCCGCTTCAATTTCTTTAGGGCTAATGTACAGTCTTTATCCCACTTCCAGATCGCTTCTTTCTTTAGCAACCTATGAAGGGGTGCAGCGATGGTGGAGAACTTCCTGACGAACTTCCTATTGTAGCTAGCTTGGCCTAAGAACGACCGCAACTTTATCAGCGTGCGGGGCGTTGGACAATCTCTAGTTACTGCTATCTTGCTATCTTCAGGTTTTATGTCGTCACCGTGTAAGACGTGGCCCAAGTACAAAACTTGTATCTTGGTCCATCCACACTTCTTTGCGCTGATCTTGAAATTACCTTGTCTAAGCTTCCCCAAAACCGACCTCAGATGACCCTCGTGCTCCGGGAGGGTCTTGCTAAAAACTAGAATATCATCTAAATACACTACCACGAATCTGTCTAACCGCGACCTAAACAAATCATTCATACAGCGCTGGAAATTTGTTGGCGCATTGGTTAGTCCAAAGGGCATAACTATAAACTCGTAGTGCCCATATCGCGTCCAGAATGTCGTATTATATTGGTCATCAGGGTGGACTTCTATCTGATGATAACCAGATTTTAAGTCTATCTTCAAAAAATACTTGCAGCCCTACACCCGATCCCACAGATCATCTATACGGGGCAGCGGTTCTGCATTCTTTACCCTGACGGCGTTGAGACCTCTATAGTCTATGCACATCATGAGCTCTCCCTCCTTCTTGGGGACAAAAAGAACAGGTGTTCCAAATGGAGATGAACTTGGCCTAATCCAACCCTTCTCAAGGAACTCATCTAATTGCTTACGCAACTCCTCTAACTCTCTTGGGGACATTCTATAGACGGCTCCCTTAGGAGTCCAACTGCCGGGCTCCATCTCTATGCGATGTTGGACTGGTCGCGACACTACACCTGTCGGCGACTTAACTAAGTCTGTATACTCCTCCAACAGCTTGGCAATAGTAGGGTTTATGGGTTTGTCTTCCTTAGGCTTAGTGATCAGCCTTACATAGGCTATAAAAACCTGCTCTTCTAATTGCTCCTTCTTTACTAAACGCGCGAACGCGGGATCACTGAGACAGCAATGTGTCGGCAAGTTATCTACTCCAGATGCATGAAACAGGCGAGCAGTCTTAACCTCCCCTGTGGGACTAGGGAGCCTACACACGTGCTCTCTCAAATGGAGTGTGGCCCCGACTGCCTCTCCCCAACCCATTCCTAGGACCATATCGAAAGGAAGGTTGTCCTCTACGAGGACATCAGGGAATAGAGAACCTTCTCCACCTTCCCATCTTTCTCTAGGCGAAAGTACGCCTGGAATCCCTCACCGTAATCCTCGACTAGCATAGTGTGATTGTCTGCGAGGATACTGACTATAAGGTCTACTAACTTTTGGACCTTAAGATTTAACTTCAACTTCTGCAGCGCTTTCCTACTGATATAGCTGCGGGTGGCCCCACTGTCTATAAGGGCCCCTACACCCCTCTAAAGATCTTTACATCTACTAAGACTAGTTGTCCTTTCGCATCCTTTTTCATTTTGGCCTAGACAGGCATCCTCTCCTT